AAGCCCCCATGTAGACCTAGCACAAGGCTAACCCTAAGCCAAATCTTAACCCTAAGCCTAAGAAAACAGTCCTAACCCTAAGTATATGTTAGCCCTAACCGCAATTTTAACAAATATTGCGAAAAATCACAGGTCACGTGACCCTCATTTTCGGGATTAACTCATTGTCGACTGATGTCGATTTGTTGATTTTTGAGCTTTTTCGACCCTAACATCTTGATAAAATAATTGACTTCCATATAAGGTGCTGTCAATAAAACTATTTCGGATTTGAATTCCCTAGGGAGCATTAATTTATGCAGGGCTTTGTAAATTTAGGTCAGACCGTTTGTTTATCGACTGGTTGAGCCTAAATTTACCTAAAAACCCGTTTATAAGTGTTTTTTTGAGCTTTTTGCTGCCACAGGAGCCCCTAGGCTTGCATCATTAAGCTTGACTAGTCGGCAGAGACAATCTTCTGGAAGAAATCAGAGGTGGAAAGCGATTTTTCGAAGACAATGGCTCCAAGTCACGGTTTGTTTTGAACTGGAGACATCATTGTAAGATCGCTTTCCTGGTCCATCTGTGGCAGATTTTCCAACCTACCAAGGTAATTTTGGCAATATTTGACAACCAAAGAATGCAATTGGCCCGATATTTTGCCTGTAGGTGCGGGGGAGCTCACACTTATAAAAAAATTCTTAAAAGAAGAATGCTGCACGATTTATGTCCAAATTTTCCGTCTTCCCATGATGCATTTCGATCGTGCATAGAAGTTTGTTATACCTGGTCTTCAAAAGAGGGCTGTTTAAAAATCTGCAGTGCATTTGACAAAATAAAAACATCGAAATGAGGACGTTCTATCAAAGGGGTTTGCAAACCAAGTGGACTTTTTGCTAGGAGAACATATTTTGACGCTACAAATTGAGATGAAAATCAGTGTACTCTGCCGTCCTTCAAACTCAGATTTTGGCATTCATTTCAAAGCAGAGTCATGTTTTGTGTCTTTTGTTTCCTCGTTGCGAAATTCTTTTAACTGTAAGATCGACAGTATCTACTAGTAAGTTCGTACGAGCAATTTCAGGGCTCTAGCTTACTATTTCGGCAACTTATAGACTTTTGACGCATAGGTCGAATTCGACCTAAATTTCAAGGGGCAGACGGGAAAGAGTTAATATTTTAATTAATGTGAAAGCTGATACTTGAAAAATGGTTCTCTAAATTTAGTGCGATGTAAGTACATTAGGTACCATACACGCTGTGCATAATGAAAACTTGACTTTGGGAGCCTGGTAACGATTTTACACTAAAGTGAGGTTCGTCCCCTTTGTATAATACACATGCCGGTTTTGAATAATCCACGACTTTCGGCGTACGATATTCCTGGTTCATTACTAGGTGAAAGAGCGCCAGAAAGTTTCAAAGTACAAAAAGTTCTCGCTAAAAGTTCTCGCTAAAATCCGAAGGAGACCCCGACAAATGTCTAAAGACTAAAGCACAGCACGCCAAAAAGACATGACTGCGAGTACCCAAAGCTAAGTGGAGTGACTCCGTGATGTACGGACACTACCACAGTCAATGGTCAGTTTGGAGATACTTTAAGAGAAATTGAATGAGTATTATTATTTTAAGCATTTCCTTAAGCAGCTGAGTCTTATCAGTTATTAATACCATGATCACCTCGGATTCTTTTGTCTTCCGAGGGAAGCTTACAAGTGGACATCCCTCCCTTATGAATAGTATCAGAGACGATTACGTAATAGTCCCTCGTGCATAATAACGGAAGTCAAAGGAGACATTTGCTTCCTAGGAGGGACAACTGAATGTCACTACAGCTGTCTTCTTTTGAACTCGTCGGGAGTAATAWACGCGCGGCATCTTTTAGTTGCCAMTCGCAATGTTACGAGACAAGTTGGACGATTTTGCTGCTCGTATTACCGTACCTAAACTACAATCGTTGCCAAAAATTACTTGGAACGACTATACGAGATTAAATATAGGTCTTATATACGACTTAAATATAGGTCCCACTCCTGTTATATATTTTCAATAATCCCTCGGTCCCCCTTAAAAATCAATGTTGCTGTAGTAATGATGTATGAAGAGGTGGCTTTCAAATGCATGACGACTCGCAAGGAACAGGCAACATTGAGAGGGGAGCGGGATTAAGAACTCAGTCATTTATTCTTTCGTAGTGTGAAACGCGAATAAATGTCCAAACGTTCCTACAATTTGGACAACGATTGTAGATTTTAGTTATGAATGTTTTTAGTTAACATCAAGTTAGATAATCTTTTTGTGCAATAGTGTTTATAACTGTGTTTATAATGTCCTTTAAGCCTTCTTCAATTTTGTATAAGGAAAAATAAAAGCATTCGTATATCCATTCATTAAGTTCAAAAGGGTCAAACACCTACCGTCCCATTCAAATTTGAGGGTATTTCAACCTGTCCATATGTCCATTCGCCAGTATTACTACCGACAGTACTCCAAAGACAGCTGGTTGAATTGTTTTTTTCAGCGCAGATTTTTATTGATGAGTTAGATTTGTCAGGAACAATGTACCAAAATTGCATGCAATACGGTTTTGTTTTGAACCATTGCAAAGATAATTTGCTGGTAGTAGACCTGTCGATACCAAAGTCTACAATGTAGTAGGCACCTATGATGGGATTCAAAGAACGAAATCTCATGTTAACACTTCTAGACAAAGTCTTAAAGTGCACATGACACTTTTAGAAAAACACTTTTATCCGAAAGGTAACACGCTGCCAAATGACTTCTGTGAAGAAAGAAAATTAGGGGTCTGGGTTCTAGTGACGTATAGCAATCGACTTCGAGTATATGCGGCACTTAAACAAGTGTCAACTAC